ATATGTTGCTGTATATTTGGATTTTAGCTTACTTTGTGTATTTACTGGATTTTCTTATCTTCGGGCTGTAGTTACTTTTATTACTCACTGGGTCGGAGTACTCACTTTACTCCCTGCATCTTGTGTGCAGATCCAGGGCAGTCTCAGGCTCAGTATATCCAGTTGATCAGCAGATCCAGCCGCTAGGAGTATCGAGGTAGCTGCACGGCGTTTGCAGCCATTGATCTTCTCCCTCCTATCCTATCTCTTTATTTCCGCATTATCGGACTTTGGATAGTATTAGGATGATATTCTGTATTCTAGAGGCTCAAATTCGTGACACCGGGTCCTAGTGAGATTATATTGTGTATTTTGTTAAAGTCTTCAGTACTTTAATCTTGCTTAATTGATATTTTTTTCTGCTATTTTTGATAAATTGGGTTAAGTATTGAATAATGGTCGGGCTTGCCTAGTAGTGTGCTGGGCGCCATCACGACCGGGATTTGGGTCGTGACATGGTAGTATTGTTAATTCAATTTTCCCACCCCAACAATCTTTTCATATAGGGGAAAAAGATAAAATCATTTACTGCACTGCTTTTTCAAAAATATTTGAAAATGATGTGGCTACAATAACTGCAATTTGAATACCATGCTTACCCAAAATAATTATACTAATATGTATGTGAGTATTCTGGGTGAACATGTTATTAAGATTCATGAGAAATTGGACAAGCTTATAGCTGAAGTCCAAAAAATCCATCAGAAAGATACTAAAGGTAAATAGCAAATCGCTACTACTAGTATCCAACCACCTCCTGAGGTAAGAGACTTTAAATTGAAAAGTCTTGATGACATTGAGGAACTTCTTAATAAGAAGTTTGGAGAATTTAGAGCTAGTCCTCTAAGTTTAGAGCATGCATCTACTAGCGGTACAAAAGTAGATGATGAGATTAATAAAATCTCTGAGAAATATGCTCGAAAACATACCAAAGAATGTTTTACTACCCAAGACCTATCCCTCAAGATGTCTTGATAGAAGAACATGACAATGATTATTACCACCAAGGCTATAGTGGGTCAGATATCTATGAATGGAACATAGATGGTCTTGCCGAAAGGCAAATTTATACGATAGTACATAGAATGCTTATGTACAGTACTATCTGTAAAGTTAATAAGAATACAGATAGGGCAATTGCAAAAATGATTATTGCCGGATTTACTGATCAACTGAAAGGCTGGTGGGATAATTATCTCACCCAAGACCAGCGCTTTCAAATAATGCATGCAACCAAGACTGAAGATGATAAGATTGTTCAAAACTTAGTCTATTCTTTAGTTATGAATATCATTGAACACTTTTCTGGAAGATGGTCTATTAATAGTGAGACCATTAGGACAATGCTCCAGAATTTGAGGTGTAAAACCCTCACATCTTTTAGATGGTATAAAGATGTTTTCTTATCCAGAGTGATGGAATTGCCAGAGAGTAATAGTACTCATTGGAAGTCTAAGTTCATAGATGGACTCCCGCCCTTATTTGCTGAAAGGATTCGAAAAGTCCTTAGAGGCACAGGAATGAGTATTGATTATAATAATTACTCATATGGTAAACTATTTAGTGTATGCACTCAGGAAGGTTTAGCTCTGTGTAATGAGATCAAGTTAAACCAACAAATCAAGAAACATCGTCTCACTGAGAGACAACAATTAGGTGAATTCTGTGAACAATTCGCCATTGATATACCATCCAGAAGAAAGAAATCCCGTAAAAAGGATTTCAAAAGGAAAAAGGGTTCGCCGGAAAAACGGCGCGAAAAGACCCAAAAAAGAAAGGCTTTTCATAAAGCCAGAAAGGGTTTTATTAAATCAAAAAACCCTCAGGCCTGTTATAAATGTGGTAGAGTAGGCCATTATGCAAGAGATTGCAAGATCAAAGAACTGGATTTAGATGATCATATCAAAGATTCTTTATATAAGATTCTTCTGAATTCTTCTCCAGAAATATCTGATACTGATAAAGAAACTTCATCAACAAGTGAAGACCTAAGGGTTGTTCATGAAGAAAGTTATACTTCATCTTCTGAAGAAGAGCAAGAGTCCTATAATAAGGGACAATGCTCAAATCATTGTTGTAATATCGACGATGAACTTTTTAATATCTACTCTCAATTTAGGGATTTAAAGATTAGTTTTGTCTAATGACAATTTGATTGTTTTACTAAGGGTTATTAAAGACCCTAAATTAAGGTCCCAGCTAATAGATAAAATTCCTACAGATCCAGAGGTAGGAACAGAGGTGGAAGAAATTCCGTCTCAGAAAGAACCTTACACCATGTCTGAAATCAGAAAGATGGTGAAAAATAAGTCTCAGCCTGAAAGGCTTGCTACTGTCCAAGATTTAAGTACTGAGATAAGTTATCTCAAGAAAGAAACCTCACAATTAAAAGCTTCAAATGTAGCTTTAGATGAAAGAATTTTCAGATTAGAAAATTCTGAGGGGATTAATACAGATCTCGGTGTTAAGATTACTGAGATAGATAATATCCCTAGTTCTTCAAAAGAAAAGACTGCTAGTACTTTATTGGCAGTAATAGATTTTCCTGAAGATGAATTTTTAGAAAAATTACAATATTTTATCGCTCAAATTTTTTTAATAAAAATAACTCTTTTAATTGATTACAATTTCAAAAAAGAGTTTGTCGCTCTATTTGATAGTGGAGCATATCTAAATTGTGTAAAAGAAGGGGTTATACCCTCTAGATATTTTCATAAAACCACTCATCGTTTAAAAAATGCTAGTGGTGGTACAATGGGTATTTCATATAAATTACCCAAAGCTTATATTTGCCAACAAGACACATGCATTCCTGAGAGTTTTGTTTTGGTAAAAGATATTCAACAAGAAGTAATTCTTGGAGTACCATTTTTTATAAAATTAATGCCTTTTTTATATTGGGATACAAAGAGTTTTATTGGTACTTATAATTGTAAGAATATCACTTTTGAGTTTATAACTGAGCCAGTTCAAAGATTTTTGAATGAGATTATTTCTAATAATATTTCTTCAAAAGTCAATCAAATTGAATTTTTGAAAAATGAGATTTGTTCCATTACAATAGAACAAGATTTAAAAAATCCCAAACTAGTAGAAAAGATTAATTTTCTCAAAAATCAATTTGCTGCTTCTATATGTGGTGACCATCCGAATCAGTTTTGGAATAGAAAGAAGCATATTATAAGTCTTCCTTATGAAGAAGACTTTTCTGAGGATAATATCCCTACCAAGGCTCGACCTTGTCAAATGAACTTCGATTTTTTGGAGTTATGCAAGAAGGAAATTGATTCCTTAAAGCAGAAGGGTTTAATTAGACCCTCAAAGTCCAAATGGTCTTGCACTGCTTTTCATGTTAATAAACATGCGGAACAGGAACGAGGAGTTCCTAGATTAGTTATTAATTATAAACCACTTAAGGGAATGACCGGATCGCTTCCGAATAGGGCTCAGGAATTGAATTACAAGGACACCAGTCCTGGCCTAGCCACTAATCTCTAGGGAAACCTTAAACCACGATGCTCTTCACAACCCTTCAACGGCCACCTGCCTAAATGGGTTAACGAGTACCACCGGTTATCTTGGGACTAACCAAGGTTTACTGTCGAGACTAGTAACTGCCTGGTCTATATAGTCCTTAACCTAGAACCCCATCGGGTTTGATACAGTAGACTCCTAACTACCATAAACATGAATAGTAGATAACCATTGAGAACCAAGTCTAACACTTACCTGTTTAGCCTGTCACTTAGGCTAACAATATCGTATACATGGAAGAGGGAGGGAGAAGAACAGTACCACCACAGAGACCCTGAGTTGAGGCCAAGTGACCTTTTTGATTTTATTTCAGAACTAAAATATTACAAAAGGGATTTTTACAGATGTAGAGAGAAACTAGAGAGAAGGCAGAGCTAATGTTGGCTAAAGCCTGCCTCTAACTAAAGAAGAGTGATCCTTATATAATGGATACAAACAAAATGAAAAAGTAAATGTGGCCGACAAAATAATTAAAACATGGCCAAAAGAAAATTACATTATTAAAATCAGACAAACTACTTTTATAAAAGTAGATTCCTTCTGATAATGGAGGGACCCCTTACTTTATTAAAGCTATCTGGGGGACCTATTACTTTATAAAAGTCTTCATCTTTTTACCCCAATAATTAATCGGTGGGGCCTTCTATTTCTTTATGCTTTATCTTTTCCTTTGTCGTTTTTCTTTGCAGAA